CGCCTATTTATATATTTTAAGGCCACAAACACAGCGGCTATTGACGAACGTGTCGAGTTTTTTCAGGTGTGATCGGACACTCATCCTCGAGACATCGTCGACCAACACAATGGGAACGAAAGCGGGAAGAACATGTTTACAGCGCGAGACAGCGAGAGGGGTTCGTGCGAGTGTGCAGCGGTTCGCGCTACGCTGCGCTACGAACCCGGCGACCCGAGTTCGATTCCCGCTCACGGCCAACACCGGTGACGATTATCCGAACCGTTCCTGGGTCTCCCCTGGGTCGACTCAGCCTCGCATGAGTGCCTGGTGCGGTGTGTAAACATCGCCACTGGGGGAGACAAAGGCGGTCGGGCGTGGTGCTGGCCACCCACCCCCTCGTGTAACCGTGCCGGCTTTCATAGGTGCTCGCTCACAGCCTGTTAAGGCGGTTAAGGCTATATGGGAGAATCTCTAGCTTTGTCCAGTACGTTGAACTTCCTTCGCACCGTACGTAGCCCACCGTGCTCATCGGAGGTGCGGGAACGCGTGCGGTAAAGATGATGTGCTGGAGCGAGCGAGAGACATCGTCGCATTGACGGCTGAGACGAAGGCTGGAGACTCCCGGATCTCGATAAAGCTGCAGGGAGCAACGCCGAGGACTGCCCGGGAGCCGTGTTTGTGCCACTCGCGGAATGGATTAAAACAAAAATGTACAATCGTCCCTCCGAACAAAAAAAATATATTTGACTTTCTCATACTCGCTCGTGTTCGGTTTTGGACCGTTACATATCTCGTTTCTTAGTTGTGTCATATTCCCGAAGGACCCTGCTGTACTTAATCTCTGCAATACTGTAGTCATGTTGTTTTCTCTCTGTGTTGCTGCTGCTGTGCTCACGCAGGACCACGGACCTCCCGTGTAAAATATCCGGGTTAACTGGCTACTAAACAGGACCAATCTTCCTTGTGTAACAAGTCAAATAAACGAAAACTTCTGCAGGATAAATGCAATTGGACACGGCGAATCGTTAAGTTCAACTGTGTTTGTTACACGGATGACCCAATGTTACCAGTTTCCCGGTTATTTTACACGGGGGATCCGTGGGTGCGAATTTTACGTAACGTTTATATGTATGTTGAACTTCTTTCGCACCGTGCGTAAGCCAACCGCGCCAATCGGAGTTGCGGAGTTGAGCACCTCACATATAAGCAACACGCGAGTTGCAGCTCCAATAGCCGATCGCAGTCAGCCGTCGCGACCATGAGGTTATTATTGTTATTTATACAAAAAACGGCAACACAGCACAGGACGCCAGAGAGAGAAACTCCCTTCCTCGTGGGAGTCGAGGAGGAAGTCGAAGGATCGTTGACTGCAAGGAAATCGGCGGTTACGGCGAGAGTGTGTGAACTAATCTCCATCTGTGGCATCTGCGTGGGGTAGACGAGTGTTGATGCAACCCCAACCTCTCACTTCCAACTCATACACGTTGGTTTCCTCCCACGTCTACGAACTCCCGATATCATCGGTTGGAAATATTTTTTATGTATAAATAGTTTCGTAAAGAACGCTGCTGTATATGTAAACACTCAAGATTGTTTTTTTTTACTTTAACAAACGGCTGCATTTTGGAAAACGATAGATAAAAAAAGCTCCTCTCTAAATTCTAACACAATTTAAGAACAAAAAAGTGGATTTTTGTTTTATTCGAACGAGCCGAGTTGTTGCTCCGACTTCACAGACACCGAGCGACTGTCGGCACGGCCACCCCAGCGACTCAACCAGGGGCAGCCCTAGGACTAGCTGCCAGCAAGTGGCAGGGCCCTCGGGAGAACCATGCAATCGGCGCCCCCCACCCCCCAAACCCCAAGGTCAGATCTAGGCTGAGCATCTTGGTAAACTGGGAAACATTTTGCCCCTATTTTCGGTGTCATGTTTTTTATTCATTTTTTTTTACTTTAGTCGGTTTTGATTTAAAGCTTTCGTGACTGCAGGGATTCATATTCTTGGTTCTTTCGGTAAAGTCACGTAGAAGGGAAACAATAAAATAATAAAAATATAAAACAATAATTCATGTCCCCTCTGTACACGCACGGGAATTGAAATAATGACATCTTCGTTATTTTATTTGTATTTTTCTGTATTTGTATTTTTCCCACGAATTTGGCGCCCCACTTAGCTTGGCGTCCGAGGCGACCGCCTAGTTCGCCTATACGGACGGGCCGCTCCTGGACTCAACACAACCGCGACTCGAACACAGCCAACTCAACAGCCCGACGGGAACACGAGAGAGACTGGGGCGACCAAGTTTGGAGTTAGGAATCTTTGCTCTCAAGACAACCAGGGCAGACCCACCCTCCCAACAACCTGTTATGGCGCACACACAAAGACCCTCTGTGTAGCCTTAACAGACTGTTGGGGCAAATGTTGTTACGGAGAACCTATAGAGACTGGCACGGCACACGAGTAGGAGAGTGTGGCCAGGACAGCGCCCGGCTGCCTTTGTCTCCCAAGTGGTCTCCCAAGTGGGAGAAAAAGGCGGGCGGGCGTGCCGCATCTGGGACTTATTTGAGGCTAAGTCTATCTAGAGGAGGCCCACGACCTGGCTCAGATAATCGTGACGGATGTTGGTGGCCGTGAGCGGAAATCGAACTCGGGTGACCGAGTACTTAGCGTGGCGCGCTACCGCCCCCCACGCTCGCACACACAGAAACATAAGCGTATGGTTTTATAAACGGGGAACTTTCCATTGTCCATACGTGGACATGGTCTATTTTAAGGCCCTGCAATAGCTCCATGCACTCGAGGATGGTCCAAATTAAACACTCATCTTTTGAACACAGCTTTCATCATCTTTCATGAGGACAAACATCGTGTTTCGTTTCCGTGGGACCCTATGGAGTTTAGCCTCGGCTTCTGGACAATAGTCCCATCATTTGCTGCTCTCCCCCCCCCCCCCTCGTAACCGCCTCCACCCCACCGCCCCCGCGTCCCAAGCCCAGCCCTGGTGGTTTAGCAAGTGTTCAATAAGAGCTCACGGCTGCTGTCCAACCATACGTGCCACCCTGTGCCAGTTCCCCGCAGCTCTCCACATTTCACAGTGTGGGCCACGTGGCCTCCAAGCGCTATCCTGACAGCCTCCAAACATCGGCCCCTTAGATAGACTCACCACTGTGGTCTGCGCTCCTTCAACGGAAGAGGAGGAAACAAGCGACACGCACTCTCTCTCTCCGCTGAAGCCCTCTCGTCGTGGCGAGCAGCAAGCAAGACCTCGACAATGGCATCGCGATCCTGAACCAAAACATCGCTGCTGCTGCTGCAATCGCTGCCGTCATCAAACAATCCAAGAACATTTTTAGTAATGTGCGAACGTCTATAGATATTATTATTTGTGCTTGCTTGCGCACCGCTGCCATCGCGGAATCGCCAAATACAGAATTGATAATGAAGATGTTGATGGTGGTGGTGATGTTGTTAGTAATGTTGCTGCCAGAGATGAGTTGGAAAGAAGGCTCGCACTCCACGGCCTTGTGCGTGAGCTGCTGGATATTCGGAGTTACAGACACACCCCGCCTTGGCAACCTTCCCAACATTATATCTACCGGTTGCCGCCTCCACTCCTACGGCCACGACACACACGACCTGCACAACAAACAGCAGCTTCCATGCCACCTTCTTCTGCTCCTTCGGCCAAATGCAGCCGCACTCGCTCGCAGGCGGGCAGTCGCCTTCTCGTACCTCTTCTATCGCCACTACCGCGACAAAATACCGCGGGCTATCTATCCCACGCTGTGTTCGGCCACCGCCAACAACAACAACAATGCGGGTCACACACAGCACGCCCCCTGCTGTGTTCCTTGCATCTCACGTCGCCTCATTTCCCCTCCCCAACTTCTTCGTCGTTGTGCCATTTCGCATAAAAAAAAACTCACACAAAAGAGCACGCGGAGTGTCCCTTACAGGTAACTCCTTTCGTGGCGCTATTAGACGCCGAACGCTTTGCGTTCTGGGAACGACAGTAACATGCTCAGAAATCGCGAGATAGAGATACTAAAAAAAAACCGTGCATGTTCTATCCACTGCTGGAGGAAATCGCTCAATCCGTCCAATCTGTCACGGCTCTACGATGTAACAATGCAAATCTGGCCCGTGGCGCCATCGTCCTCCAGAACGCGTTGCCCTCGGCTCGAATCCAGAGTTCCAACACCTGAATCAAAATCGCGTGGGACCAGCTCCGGCACGCAACGTGCAGGGGTAGAGGGGGGGGCGCGAACTCGCCCGTTACTCACCGGCCATCGCGGCAGCTCGAGGAGGCGACGTCTTTGCGCCGGTAATGTCACGAGAAGGAATTCGAGCGCACGCAACCGGCACGCACGCGACTTGACGACGGCGAGCGTCACTGTTAAGGCAGCGTCAACTGGCGAGCTTGTTTTATAAAGCATCCAGACCCATGTCCCCCCGCAACCCCGCCTTGTGCAAGGCCCCCCCCCACTAAACCCCTCCCATTTCCCGTAAAACGGAGGGATTCCCCTCGGTGACATCAGCTCGCTCTGCGCCCACGTCAGCCCGTGGCCTCGCCTCGTTGAGAGGGGTGGGCGAGGGTTGGCACGTGCGCCTGGCACTCGGGGCCTGGCACGCGGCGGGGACGGCTGACGGGCGCCACCGCGTGGGGCACGGCAGTGGACGCGAACATTGACGGACGAACGAACCGGAGGGGAGGGGGGGTTTGGGTTGCACTGATATGGAATTTACAATTGGTGGGGGGTGTGGGGGGATAAATTAAATACAAACTCGATTACTCGAACGTATACTCCCGTACATGTGCGTAGTGTGCACGGTATCGAATTACAATTATAGATCACCAAATATAGTTGTACATTGAAAACGTATTTCTTTCGAACTGCGTTTTGTGTTTAATTTGTTTTCATTCCCCCCGCACCTCCAATTAGCACGCGTGGCTACGTACGGTGCGAAAAAAGGTCAGCACACCATAGTCACCAGCATCAGCCATGGTAAAACCCACCGCTGGACAAAGGCCTTCCCAAGCCGTTGCGATTTCACGATCCTGAGATGGAACGGAACACCCAGCACCTGCAACGCGAGCTGGTTGAAGCGCTCCATCGTCTCCCCCGGCCGACGTTCTCTCGCTTGCGTTGCATTTCGCGGCTGTCGCTCCCCCGTTGCACACTCAACCGTAGTCCCTTTGTGGTCTCGACGCGTCCCGTCCAAGCCCCACTTCACCGCTCCCTAATGCGTTCCCTCATCCACGTGTTCACATTTCCCTCTCTCAATGCAATCCCCAAACACGCAGCCGCTCCGCGATTCATTGCGCACTTTTCATCTCGGTTCCACGTTCTGCTGTTGTTGCTGCTGCTGCTGTTGCTATTGTTGCTACTGCTGCTGTTGCTGCTGCTGCTGCTAATGGGACCTGCCGTGGTTTACAATCGCCTGACGCTCATCCGTCCGGCCCTCTGTGGTGCTGCGTAGATCGGACGCGAGCCGAGAGCGCGTGCGTGGCCTTACGTTTCAGTTGCGCGAGGCGCGGTGTTAATCCCCTTCGTGTTCTAAAATTACCCCACCGTCGCTGTGGCTGGTGAGTGGGAGGGAGGGAGAGAGAGATTGCCTCACTCCTGAGAGCCGACTGCAGCAAAACGCCGGGGGAAGTCCCACAACAGTGCGTGTGCCCCGGCCGCATATGTTGTTTGTTTTGAACCGCGCGAGCCTGACGTCAGCCATGTGTCCATCTCTAACCCTGACCATAGCTCTAGGCTGACCAGAAACCGAAGATAGCCAGACCCCTATAGCCATAACTCCAGCAATAGCCTAAACCTCGAACCATAACCCTAGCATAGCTCGAACCCGGAGCCATAGCCATAATTATAACCATAGCCAAAACCTTAAACCTAGCCCTAACCATAAACCTAACGCCAAATCATACATCTAACTCGAATCCTATCCCGAGCTCTCGTCCAAATCCAAACCCAATAACACTGAACATAGATGAGCCCTCACTTTAGACCCAATCTGAACTCTAGAACCCGAACTCTACTGATTCTACCCGGACCCTACCTCAGCAGGAACCCGACGCGTGCTTAGTTCAGCAAAGGGTTGTGAGTGTGACAGTGCACAAAGGCAAAGATCCCCCGTATAGAATTTAACAGGCTGTTGGTGGAAGTGCTGTTAGCAAGCACCTATGAAGGCCGGCACGGCAAATGAGGCAGTTTGTGGCCAGCACTGCGCCCGGCCGCATTTGCCTCCCTGGTGCTGATGACATCCCTGTCGCACCCCAAGGTGAACAGCCAATGGCTCTGGCTCCTGGTCACGCAGCTTTGCCCGGGACTGTCCACCGTCATGAAGGTCCTTAATGATTGTGAGCAGAGGGTCAGGGACTCCGAAAGCGCAATGAATAATATTCTTTTGGTTCTTTCGGTAAAGTCACGTAAGTAGAAAAATAATAAATAACCTCTTGTTGTAACAGCTTTCTCGCTGGTTCGGCAGTTCCACTGCTGGATTATATTTTCCGCCTGAGGACGACCGCCTGTGTTGCGATCTAAACGTCGTGACATATTATTTTTGGTTTTATTTTATTTTTCTACCTACGTGACTTTACCGAAAGAACCAAAGAGTATGGATTCCTGCAGTCACGAAAGCTTCGAATCAAGATTCACAACGAGTAACCTGGAGCCCTTGCGCGTTGCTGGTATCATAGACCTTGACCAGGTCAATAAAGCAGACATGTAGGTCCTGGTGAAATTCTCTACCCCTCTGCTGTAGCAGACGGACAGAGAATATGGTGTCCGTGCAGGACTGAAATCACATTGGGGGCTCTGCCAGCCTCTCAGCGTGCTGCCTGGCAAGGACGGCGATGTTGCATAATCCATGCCAAAACCTTTCCCTGCACACTGCAGAGGGAGATGTCTCGATAGTCGTTACAATGAGTACGGTGCCTCGTGTTAAAGAGGGGAACCACCGAGGCATCATTCCAATCTTGCGGAACCCGCCCTGTAGTCATGTAGGGCAGCCTCCACAAAATCGTCATCTCACCTCAGCAGTTCGCTTGGGAGGTCGTCTCTACCCGACGCCTTTACCTGGTTTCAGGCTCCGGATCGCGCCTTGCACTTCCTCAACAGATGGCACATCAGCAGGTCACTCACAGGGGGTGGCTACTTCCTTCATTATTTGAGGCACAAGAGCAGGGTCAACCCCGCCTTGCCCATTGATCTTATTTGGGCTGAGGGATTTCCCCACACCCCCAAGGTTTCACAGAAATGCTCAGCAGACCTGCAGGCCTTTTCCTAGGGGGTCGGAGATCGGGTCACCGCTCTTTGCCATTCGGTAATAGGCGCTGCAAGTTACGTTTTGATGGAATTAAGGAGTGATTTGTGATCGGGAGCTGCTGAGGCAATTCCCATTTCCTCAGCAGCGAGCGTTCGGACATTGCGCATGGCCAACCTTCAGCGGTTTATTCTCCTGGCTCTGCCAAACGGGGGGGGAGGGGGGTGAATAGGGGACGTCATAGGCGCCTGTCACCCGAATTGAAGGTGGCGGGGGTAACCAGCCCCTCGCATCCGTCCACAGAACCTCGTTGGCCATCGTGGCAGCTGCGAGCGCCGTGAGGGTAACAGCTGCCTGGCATCGGCCTTCTACCCCCCCCGCTCTTCCTCCAGTGGCATTGTCTATAACCACCTCAATCGCCGAGGAGGTGAGGGTTGTTTTGCAGGTCCCAACTCCCCACACGCCACTCGCAAAGACAAAGGTCCCCCATAAAGCCGTTAACAGACTGTCGGGGCAAGTGCTGTTAGCGAGTAGCACCTTTGAAGGCCGGCACGGCGCACGATGGGGGTGGGTGGCCAGCATCACGCCCGGCTGCTTTTGTCTCCCTAGTGGTATGTACTGTATATGTATACCTGGTGATTTTTACGCACAACACCAGGTATGCATTTGAGGCCGAGTCGACCTAAGGGAGGCCCAGAACCGGTTCAACATAATCGTCATTGGTGTTGTTGGCCGTGAAACGGCAATCGAACTCGGGACGCCGGATTTGTTTGTGGCGCAGCGCCCGAAGTGCTGCACCACCGCTCCCCGCACGCACGCTCACTCACGCACCAGGTGACTCAATATTCCGAGTACTCTACCAGCGCAGGTGTGGACAGACGCCGACACGGGGGGGGGGGGGGGTGGTGGGGGCTTCACCGCGCTTCTCACGAAAGAGAACAATGAGGGTGAATGCCCAGGTAGAAACACCTCGGGGCTGTCGGGGCTGCGCGCTATACCGAGAACCAACCCCAAGCCCTTCCCACCCCACCCCGCAGCTACGGGGGATGCCCCGCATCGCTCCCGAGTGACCGCCTCAGTCCCCGCAACACAGCCGCGCAGTCCGTGTTGGGGGGATCTCAGTGGATCCGCCGGTCGGCCTGCCTGTCACGGCGCTGTCACTACCCAGCAGCGGTGTTTGGCAAGGGCACGCGTTTAAGCGAGCAACACTCGGGGCCGGTTTCGATCTCTATCGGGTCTCATCAGCATGCGGAGATCGGGATTGTCGAAAGTGTAACACGCGCCTGCTCATGGATTTACCGAGACGTTGTGGGCGAGAGCGCTCCATACAAACTCTGCCTCCCCCACCCCGCCACGCTCAACGAAAAGAGCAATATCAGCGCACAATGCGAACTCGTTATACGTTGCGCTGGAGGGTTATGGGTAAAGTCTAGGATTGGCGTAGTGCATTATGGGAGGGAGAGGTGGCGCAGTGGTTAGCGCACCGTGCTATCGAACCGAGTGACCCGTTTACTGACGATGCTGATCATAAGACGCAGTTTCCCTCCCCCCCCCTGTAATTTAAAGAAAAGGGGCCGTCCATAAATGACGTCACGCGATTTTGGACGATTTTTGACCCCCCCTTGTCACACGGCGTTACAAAAAGTCAGACCCCCCCTCAAGTATGACGTCACAAAGCTCTGCTCCCCCCCCAAATAAAACATGCTTCAAATCTTCTTTGGTTCTTTCGGTAAAGTCACGTAGAATGAGAATAAAATAATAAATTGATAAAATAAAATAACACAATAATATTCTCACGACGTTTCGGCCACAACACAAACGGCCTTCATCAGGTGAAGGGACGAGACTGTCTGGTAGGACAGCGCTGGAGTGCGTATTTAATGTGCCGCTGCACTCTGATGTTGTAGGAGAAAACATGTATTAAAAAGTCAATTTCATTAAGTAGAACGTGTTGTCTATATTTATTTAAAGTTGCGCATTTTGATGTGACGTCACATTTCTCAAACCCCCTTGTCACACATCGTCACAAATGTCTGATCCCCCCCCCCCAGGTGCGTGACGTCATTTATGGACGGCCCCAAAGTTGGGGGTGCGTCTTTATAATCCGGTAGTTGTGGGTGCGTGCCTGTTGTCTGCGTGTGAGGCCAGAAATGTATAACTTTGTTAATGAAACGAGTTCCGAGCACACGCGTCCAAAGACACAAATCCCCCAGGTAGCCGTCGTGACTATTGGGTGAAAGTGCTGTTAGCGAGCACCTATGAAGGGTGGCACGACACGCGACGGAGTTGGTGTGGCCGTTACCACGCTCCCGGACGTCTTTATCCCCCCAGCGCTGATGTTGAGACACCGCCCCAGTTATTCCTTTATGGTTGAGTCGACCTAAGGGAGGCCCAGGACGGGTCCAGATATAAATCGCCACCTATGTTGACTGTGAGCTGGAATTGAAATCATCAGGTCAGCGGGTTCAGAGGGCAGTGCGTTAACCACAGCGCCACTGCTCCCCACAAAGACAGAGGTCCCCCGTATAACCTACACAGGCTGTTGGCGCAAGTGCTGTTAGCAAACAGGAGGGGATGTCGCAGTAACCACGCACGGCCGCCTTTGTTTCCCCAATTGTGATGTACACACACTTAGAAGGTGCTCATTTGTGACTGAGTCGACCTAGGGGAGGCCCAAGGCCGGGTCAGACATATGTCAACCGATGTTGGCTGTGAGCAGGAATCAAACTCGGGTCGTCGTTGTGGTAGCGCAGTGCGCTTACCATCACACCAGCACCGCTCCACACACACACACTGTGGAAGTGTCCACTCACACTGTGCACGTGTCCACACACACTGTGCACGTGTCCACACACACTGTGCACGTGTCCACTCACACTGTGCACGTGTCCACTCACACTGTGCACGTGTCCACTCACACTGTGCACGTGTCCACACACTGTGCACGTGTCCACACAAACTGTGCACGTGTCCACACACACTGTGCACGTGTCCACACACACTGCGCACGTGTCCACACAAACTGTGCACGTGTCCACACACACTGCGCACGTGTCCACTCACACTGCGCACGTGTCCACTCACACTGCGCACGTGTCCACTCACACTGCGCACGTGTCCACTCACACTGCGCACGTGTCCACTCACACTGCGCACGTGTCCACTCACACTGTGCACGTGTCCACACACACTGTGCACGTGTCCACACACACTGTGCACGTGTCCACTCACACTGTGCACGTGTCCACTCACACTGCGCACGTGTCCACTCACACTGCGCACGTGTCCACTCACACTGCGCACGTGTCCACTCACACTGTGCACGTGTCCACACACACTGTGCACGTGTCCACACACACTGTGCACGTGTCCACTCACACTGTGCACGTGTCCACTCACACTGCGCACGTGTCCACTCACACTGCGCACGTGTCCACTCACACTGTGCACGTGTCCACACAGGGACACGCGTGCGACGTTGACCACGTCACCGAGCAGTGCGGTCAGCAGGGGGCGACTGCGCTCTCTGTCCACACGTGACTCTGGGGGACCGGCCCCCACCTTCCCCCACTCACCCGCCCCCTTTCACAGCCCCAAACCCCCCTAATCCTCCTCCCCTCGGTGCCCCCCCCCCACCATCTCCCTCCCTCCCTCCATCCTCTCCCCCTCTCGCCCTTTCTCCCCCCACGTCTCGCCTCTCCACCCGCCCGCTCCTCCCTCTACCCACCTCGCTCGGCTCCCACCGCCGTCTCCCCTCCCGGCTCCCCCGCCCCCTTCTCCTACCCTCTCCCCTTCCTCCCTCCCTCCCTCCCGTTACCGCGCAACGGGGATCTCGAGGTCCCCCGAGGCGCCCCTCCCCCTTCACCAGATGGGAAGGGGGGCGGGGAAGTGGTGGGGAGTTGGGCGCGCAGGGTCAAGGTCAACCAGCCCCTCCCCTCTTCCACCACCACCCCTTGCCTCCCTCTCTCACCCTGCACCCTCCAGCTGCCCCTCCCCTCCTCCTGCGTCTCACTTCCCCCCTCCCGCCCCTTGCCCGCGTCCTTGGTGATAGATGGATGACCGAATCGCATCACCAGCAATCGGATCGGATCGCGCCGCGGAGCGGGGGATGAGGGGGGCAGGGGGCGGGTCAAAGGGAGGGATTGGAGGAGGGTGAGGGGTGGGGGGGGTCAGTCGGGGGAGGTGGTGGATGCAGGGAGATCGGAACCACCTTTTTGCTTCGGGACGCGGTGAATGCTGGACAACATCATCGCCATCATCAGTCATGATCACTCCACTGCTTGATGAAGGCCTTCTCCAAACAGATCCACCCAGCTCGTGTACTTGAGCTGATGATCTCATCGCTGCGTCTCCTTGGTGGGCGTCCCTCTCGGGCGCGTTCCATCCCTCGGCTGCCGCTCCGTTGCTAGTCTTGACCATCGGATGCATGCGTGTGTGCTTGCATGTATTCGATACGCACGTGTTCATTACACGTGGGCACGTAGCAGCTTGTACCGCACGTGTTCGTGGTGCCTGCATTTCTCTTCACCCAGTGTACAGATTGTGTACGTGTTTACACACGCGTGAGCATTCAATGTACGCGTATTCATAATGTATGCGATGTGTTGCTTGGGGAAGACCTTTATCCAGCAGTGGATTGATCATGGCTGAGTGATTGCGTCATACGCTAGGCACTATATGTCATGTATGTGTGTTATTTATGTAAGCATGTCTGCGTACAGTGTGTGGAGTACGTGTGTATATGCGCATGTGCATGTGTGCACAATATGCACACGTGTGCATTGTCAATGCGTTCGTCAACATCATCATCATCACCACCGTCATCATTACGGTCACCCCCCCTCCCCCATCAATCCTCCACATCACTTCTCCCCGAACCGCGTCCCATCACCTCCCGCTTCGTAATGGGAGATGTTGGTGATGGGAGATGTTGGTGATGGGAGATGTTGGTGATGGGATATGTTGATGGTGGGATATGTTGGTGATTGAAGATGTTGGTGATGGGAGATGTTGGTGATGGGAGATGTTGGTGATAGGAGATGTTGCTGATGGGAGATGTTGATGGTGGGATATGTTGGTGATTGAAGATGTTGGTGATGGGATATGTTGGTGATGGAAGATGTTGGTGATGGCAGATGTTGGTGATGGGAGATGTTGGTGATGGGAGATGTTGATGGTGGGATATGTTGGTGATTGAAGATGTTGGTGATTGAAGATGTTAAATGGGATATGTTGGTGATGGAAGATGTTGGTGATGGGATATCTTGGTGATGGAAGATGTTGGTGATGGGAGATGTTGGTGATGGGAGATGTTGGTGATGGGAGATGTTGATGGTGGGATATGTTGGTGATGGGATATGTTGGTGATGGAAGATATTGGTGATGGGAGATGTTGGTGATGGGATATGTTGGTGATGGAAGATGTTGGTGATGGGAGATGTTGATGGGAATTGTTCTGGTGGTGGCTGTAGGGAAGAGGGTGGAAGGTTGCACGGGGAGGGGATGAGAGGGCTAAGTCCAGGGAGGGATGATGATGATGATGTCGGAGTGAGATGAGGGGAGTTTGAAAGAAGGGGGGTGGGGGGAGAGAGAAGGGGCTCCCCAGGATCCGTCGCGCGCGGGCATGGGAGAGGTCACCAGGATTATGTCTCGAGACGAGAACACAGCGGTGCGCACACACACACGTGTACACACACGTGCACACACGTGTACACACAAGGACAAAGATCTCTCAGTATAACCTCAACAGACTGTTGGGGCAAGTGTTGTTAGCGAGTGTACACACACGTGCGCACGCTTACACCATGTCATTGAACACGCAGGGGGCTGTATACGGTATTATCATCCATAGAGCCTCACTGAGGCTTTTTTCTTTACACCCTTTTAGCGCACATGTCCTTGAAACCCGGCGCCGACACACAGTGGCCCACGCGCATGGCGTCACTGCGTCTCAAGCTTACTTTGGTTGTGACGGTAATCGCCAGGGCGGCCGCTGCGTTCGAACCGTAAACCATCTGCAAGAAGCGGCGATATCCGCCGGGTCATATTCCGTAGCGACACGCGGGGGCGCTGCAACAATAGCTCACACACACAAAGACCCCCCCCCCCACCCCGAGCACCTATTAAGACCGGCACAGCACACGAGGGGTGTGGGTGGGCAGCACCGCGCCCGGCCACCTTTGTCTCCCCAGTGCCGATGTTTACACAGCGCACCAGGTACTCATTTAAGTCTGAGGCAACCTAGGAGAGGTTCTGGACCGGTTCAGATATTCGTCACTGATGTTGGTCGTGAATTGGGAATTCGGGTCGTCGGATTCGTCAGCACTCCACCACCACACACTGACAAAGCCAAAGATCCCCCGCATAGCCTTTAACAGACTCTTGGGGCAAGTGCTGTTAGCGAGCACCTGTCAAGGCCGGCAACGACACACGATGGGTGTGGGTGGACAGCACCGCGCCCGGCCGCCTTTGTCTTTCTACACCCACTGACAGACACGCGGGGCACACGTTCCGTCAGGTGTTTGTTGTACAATCAGGTGAGCGCCCAAGGAGAGTGAACGACAGTGAACGTCTCTCTTGCGAAGGGGCAATAACACAAGTGGAGCGGAACACACAAGAGGAAGACCAATCATGCAGACGCATGGATTCCAGAACCCTTTCCTTCGTGCGCGTGCATGTTACTTTTACACATTATTATTATTGTTTTTGTTTAAAGTTGACAACGAGAGAAAATCAGAGAGATGATAGTTGGAGCGAGACGACAGTGGGTCGGTCGTAGAGAGTGAGCAGGGTGTGTGTGAGAGAGAGAGGTAAGGAGCAGCCAGATTAGAGAGTGAGTCAGAAAGAGAGAGCGAGCGGCATTGAGCCGCGCGCTCTCGCCGTGACCCCCCCGTGTCTCCATTCACGTCCTCCCCACCGCTCGCGGAACCCCTCCCCGTGCACCTGGGAACACGTTCCACCCCCCACCTCCCTCTGGACCCCCCACCACCCCCCCTCCCTCTAGACCCCCCCCCACCACCACCCCCTCCCTCTAGACCCCCCCCCCCCCACCACCACCCCCACCCGGCTTCACTTCTCCCCCCGTGTACCAAGCCGCGTGTGCGCGGCGATGCACGCGCATCCACGTGACCGCCACGCACATCACATGCAAGGACACACACACACAACGACAGTAGGGGCAAGTGGTGTTAGCGAGCACCTATCAAAGGCCGGAACAATGCGACGACGGGGTCGTGTGGCCAAGCCCCCACGTCTGGCCGCCTTTATCTCCCCGCCGTGTCGATCTTCGCACACCGCGCCAGGCAACACATTTAAGAGCTGGGTCGACCTCGGGGAGGCTCGGGACTGGATCGTCTCTGGTGTTCTTGACACGTGAGCTGTAATCGAACCAGGGGTCGCCGGGTTCGTACAGCAGCGCGCTAACCACTGCACTACTCTCCCCATTCTCTGGCACATCCGCACAGACGCACCCCCACCAACACACTGGCACCGGCACGCACGCACCGCACCGCACACGCACGCAGCCGTAACGCTTTGTGCAGCGCGCCCTGTCGGGGGCTCGCGGGGTCGCTGGAGCCTCGACGGTTTACAGCCGACGGCTCTCTGCTGCTTGCGCGCTCCCTTCCCCACCACCGTCAACCACCTGCCCTCTCTCCCCTCCTCCCTCCCCGCTCTCCCTCTCTCCTCTCTCTCCTCTCTCTCCCTGCCCGTGCGGCAGCCGGCAGTCACCTCCTCCCCCACCAACCCCGCCGCCCACACCCCACGCACCGCCACCCCCTGCCCTCTCGCCCATCGCCCCCTCTCCGTTGTTCCCTCTCCTCTCTCTCTCTCCATCAGTACAGCATCTGGCTCACACAGCGACCGCACAGCCCCCTCTGCCACCTCTCGCTCCCTCCCCACTGCTCCCCCCCCCACTGCTCCCCCCCCACCTTTCTCCACTCTCTCCTCGCCGCCGCCGCCTCGCCCTCTCTCCCTGTCCGTGCACCACATAGCGAGGCGGTCACCCCCCCACCACCCCCCCACCACCCGAACCCACAGCGCCCCCCCCTCCCTCCCCCACCACACCGGCTCAGCCAGCGCGACTGTGGCTCGCTGACGATTCCACGAGAGGGCGAAGTGGGGGGAGGGAGGGAGGGAGGGGGAGGCGGAGGTCGTCATCCCCCCCCTCAACCCAGCCCCTCCCCCCGCCCCTCCACCACCGCCCCCTCCCCCCCTGTCCGCACGGCCCCCACTCTCCAGTGACGTCCCAAGTTCGCGGGGCTCCGCACGTCACGTCCGCACTTGAACTTGGGGTCATAAGCGGCGGCTGGGAGGCTCGGCATCGCAGAATCCCTCCTCCGCCCGCGCTCGCCGCCATCTTACTATTCTCTCTCTGTGTGTGTGTGGGTGCTGCCGGGCCAAGGGAGAGGGGGGGGACAACGACGACGACTCAGACGGAGAGACGCGGAGGGGGAGGCAACGGAGGGGACAGACACGGCGGGGAGATAATCGGAGTGAGCGGGCAGAGGAGGACGAGGGGGGTGGTGGTGGTGGGGGGGGTGAAGGAAGAGCGAGAGAGGCGCGCAGACGGCTCGCGCGGCCGCCGCGTTGCGCCCCTTGCGCCGCGCCCACGAGGAGCCGACGGGGAGCGCGGGCGCCGCTCGTGTTTGCCGCCGCCGCCACAGCCGGCGGCGACACACGCGCACGATGTCTCGGCGCAAGCAGGTGAAGCCGCTTCACCTGAGCAAGCGAGACTTCCCCCGTGAGTAGCCGCACGGCGAGCGTCGGCGCGATCGGCGCCCTCCTCGGCGTCAACTCCTCATCGGCTCCTCTCGTCCTCTGGCTCTCTTTCGCTTCGCTCCTCATCCGTTTGCTTTGCCTCTCTCGTCGTACTCCTCTCACTCCTCTCTCACTTTTCCTCGCCTCTCACCATATCTGCTCAACCCCCCCTCTCGCTGTGTGTGTGTGTGCTCTCCGCTCCTCTCCCCTCCCCTTTCAAGGCGCGCGCTTTACGCACGGAAACTCCACGCGTGGCGACTCCGTCTCGGCGGGTAAACACTGCCGCTGTTGTTATTTGTGATGTCAGCGTCTGTGTTATTGTTGTGTCTGCTGTTGTGTCTGTGTACCTTGCTGTGTCTGTCTCTGTTGTTGTTGTCGTGTGTGTTATGTCTGTGAATTGCGTCTGTGCGTCCGCCTGTGTGCTCCCAGACGTAATCCTTTTCCGCGTCTCCCTCAACTCCCCCCCCCACCACCATCCCCACCCCGCCGCTCGCGTCTCTCTGTGGCTGCCCACGGGGGGCTGGGGGCTGGGGGCTGCCCCCATCGGCCCGCCCGCCTCGCCGCGCACCCGGCTCCCATCGGTGCCGTGGCCGAGAGACGCGGCTCGAGAGACGCGGAGTTTCGTTTTCCTCGCGTTACACACCCCCCCCGCCACGTCCCATCGCTCCTCGACTCTCTCCGTGAGCGCCTCTCTCTCCTCCTCGTCTCTCTCCTCGTCTCTCTTCCTCCTCGTCTCTCTCCTCCTCGTCTCTCTCCTCCTCGACTGTCTCCTCGTCTCTCTCCTCCTCGACTCTCTCCTCCTCGTCTCCTCCTCGACTGTCTCCTTGTCTCTCTCCTCCTCGTCTCTCTCCTCCTCGTCTCTCTCCTCCTCGCCTCTCTCCTCCTCGACTGTCTCCCTGAGCGCCTCTCTCTTCCTCCTCGTCTCTCTCTTCCTCGTCTCTCTCCTCGTCTCTCTCCTCCTCGACTCTCTCCCTGAGCGCCTCTCTCTTCCTCCTCGACTCTCTACTCCTCGACTCTCTCCTCCTCGACTCCGTGAGCGCCTCTCTCTTCCTCCTCGTCCCTCTCCTCCTCACCTCTCTCATCGATTCTCTCCGTGAGCGCCTCTCTCCTCCTCGTCTCTCTCCTCGTCTCTCGCCTCTCTCCTCCTCCTCCTCGCCTCTCCTCCTCGCCTCCCCCTCACCGCCACTCATCTCGTCCATTCGTCTCCCCTCGCCGCCGTCTCCTCTTCCCTCGCCAGTTCGTCCCCTCGCGTCTCCCCTCCTCCTCCTCGCGTCTCTCTTCGTCTTCCCCCGCATGTCCCTTAGACTCTCGTGATCTTCCCGCGTCTCCGTCTCATCGCCTCTCTCCACTTCTCTCCTTGCAGCATCGCCCGTCTCCTCCCCTCTCGACCACTCGAATCTCCCACCCTCGTCTCCCCTCATCCTCGTCTCCCCGACTCCTCTTGTCCTGTCTCTCCTCGTGTTTCCCGTCGCATCCCAATCACAGAGTGAGCGGTATCCCTGCGTGTGTGTAGTGGTCCGTAAGTGTGTGTATTGGTGTGTGTGTATGTATTGGTGTGTGTATGTGTGTGTGTATTGGTGTGTGTATGTGTGTGTGGGTATGTATTGGTGTGTGTGTATGGGTTTGTATTGATGTGTGTGTGGGTGTGTATGTGTGTGTGGGTGTGTATTGGTGTGTGTGTGTGGGTGTGTGTGTATTGGTGTGTGTATTGGTGTGTGTATATGTGTGTGTGGGTATGTATTGGTGTGTGTATGTATGTGGGGAGCGATAGTGTAGCGGTTAGCGCGCTGCGCTACGAACCTGGTCACCCAAGTTCGATTCCCGCTCACGGCCAACACCAGTGACGATTTTCTGAACCGGTCCCGGGCCTCCCCTAGGTCGACTCAGCCTCTAAATGAGTACCTGGTGCGGTGTGTAAACATTGCCACTAGGGAGACAAAGGCGGTCGTGTACCGTTCCGGCCTTCATAGGTGCTCGCTAACAGCACTTGCCCCTACAGTCTGTTAAGGCTATATGGGGGACCTTTGTCTTTTTTGTATTGGTGTGTGTATGTATGCTGCACTACGAAACCATCGACCCGGGTTCGATTCCCGCTCAACGTCAATAGCAGAGACAATGATCTGAATCGGTTTTGTGCCGCCCCGAAGTCGATTCAGCCTTAAATGGTACGGTGTGTAAACATCAGCACTGACCGGGCGTGGTGCTGGCCATCCACCCCCTCGTGTGCCGTGCCGGTCTTAGTAAGTGCTCAATAACAGCACTTGCCCAACCAGCCTGTGTAGGCTACACGGTCGATATTTGTCTTCGTGCGGAGGAATGAGCCAGTTGGTTGTATGAGTGAATATGTAGATGGGTGAATATGTAGGCGGGTGACTAGGTGGATGAGTGAATGGGTTGAGTTAATGAGCAGATGGATATGTAACAGAGTGTGTGAATAGGCAGACCCAGTGGTGGAGATGGGTCCGGTATACGCCAGAGCGGTTCCTATTCCTTTGGTGCGATGTTTCCGCAGACGGAAAACGGTAGAGATTGCGAGAAAGGGTGTGTGTGAGTGTGTGTGAGAGTGTGTGAGGGTACGGGTCATGGCGTGGGTGAGTGTGTGTCAGGGTGTGTGGTCTTCTACCGGCACTTCTACGTTCAGATTTCCACCACTGGGTCGATTGATGAATGGTTGGTCGATGGAGGGATGGATCGGTGTGTGGATGGATGGAGGGAAGGATTGAGAGGTGTGTGGTTTGATGGGTAAACACACGTGACGTGTGTGAGTAGGTTGATAGGCGCTCGCTAACAGCAGAAGTATGTTGAAGGCTATACGTAGATGTATGTATGATTAGGTATGTGAATAAGGATGTAGATTAATAGATGCATGGTTATGTGAATAGGTCGATGTTTAAATTGACGTGCAGGTGTGCGAGTCAGTGTATGGATGGATGGGTAGATAGTTGGATAGGTAGATGGATTGGAAGGTGTTTTTAGTAGGAGGCTGGATGGAGAGCTAGAAGATTGGATAGGTATATGGATGGAAAGGGGTGTGAGTAGGTGGATGGATGGCTGGGTAGGTGGATGGATGGGTAACTAGATGGATGGATGGGAAGGTGTGTGAGGAGGTGGATGGATGGGTAGGTAGGTGGATGGATGGGTAACTAGATGTATGGAAAGGGATGTAAGTAGGTGGATGGATGGGAAGGTGTGTGAGTAGGTGGATGGATGGGGTAGGTTAGTGGGTGGATGGATGAATCGCTTTGCTGTCATGCGTCACTCGCTCAGTGTCTCGGCGGCCGTGTTAGTAGGCCACGTGGTGAGCGGCGCGTGCGCATGGGTGAGCAGTGAGTGGGCCGTGTGCCGGGCGACGAGTGATTGGTGAGTGTGGTGTGTGTGAATGAGGAGCGGTGGCGCAGTGGTTAGCGCACTGCGCTACGAAACCCGCTGGCCCAAATTCGATTATTTGAACCGGGGTGACAAAGGCGGCCGGGCGTGGCGTGGCGTTGGCCATCCACTTTTCGTCGTTGTGTTCGCGTCGGCCTCAATAGGTGCTCGCTAACAGCATTTGAGTGATTTGTAAGTGCGAGTGAGCATTGAGTGCTGGCGACTGTTTGTCGGCGAGCGGTGGGTGGTGGTGAGTGGTGGTGAGTGGCGGTGAGGGAACCCGTGGATGCACACGTGGTGCAGTAGCCCCAGAGGCACGGCGCGACGCGCATGAAAACACAGACGCCAAGAGTGGGGGCGACGGGGGCACAGCGCCCCTCCCCCTCCCTCCACCCTCCCCCCCCTCCTAAGTCTCCCCGACCTCCTCTCGCCTGATCCCCCTCGCCCCGTCTCCCCCCCTCCCCTCGCACCGCTGTCATCCCTCGCCGCCGGGGCATGGGGGCTCGGGGGAGGTGTGGGGGCTGTCGAGGACGCGGGGGGGGGGGGGGTCAGGGGTGGTGGGGACAGGAAAGGGGGGCGGGAGGGAGGGGAGGGAATGCGGAGTCAGGTTAATGGGGAGTCGCTTCCAGGCGCCACACGATGGCGACACGTTGAAGCTGTCGTCGGTGATGCCATCAGTGGCGGCTGATAAGCCCCCCCCCCCCACTGGCTAACGTGGTGAAGTATGGTCAAGCAACTCTCCAAACGACAGCGCCGTCACGTACTCGGTGACGCGATGTAACATTGCCAGTTAAGGTGTAAAATGTAACGCTCCTCACACGCTTACACCAGCACCACGCCCGGCCGCATTTGTCTCCCCAGTGTTTACACACCGCCCTAGGCACTTAATTGAGTCTGAGTCGACCTAGTGGAGACCCAGAACGGGTTCAGATAATGGTGTTGAGAACCGTGAGCGGGAATCGAACTCAGATCGTAGCGCATTGCACGAATCACTGCAATAGCAATACCGCTCCAGATACGTACACACACAAAGACAAAGATCCCTCCTATAGCCTTAACAGACTGTTGGGGCAAGTAACGTTGGCGAGCATCTTTGAAGGCCGGCACGGCACACGACGGGGTGGGTGGCCAGCACCACGCCCGGCCGTCTTTGTCTCCCCCGTGGCAATATTTACACATTGCACCAGGTACTCATTTTAGGCTGAGTAGACCCAGGGGAGTCCCAGGACCGATTCAGACAAACGTCTCTGGTTTTGTCCGTGAGCGGGATTCGAACGTGTACACACACACACACACGCATAGATACACACATTCACACTCAGCCCAGCTTGTTGGTATCTTGGGTATATGGGGTGTGGGTTGGGGGGGGGAGACTGATCGTGTTAAACCTGACACCTGCGCCCCCCCCCCCCCGTCCACAACCCCCTACCCCCCACGGTGCCCCAGGTGCCACTGCAGGTGTTGATGCTCTGTGTAGCGCGCACGCGCAGTGTGCGTCATTATTAGAGACCCACTACTTGGGGGACTGCATTGACGGAGAGGTTTTATCGGCACGGATATAAGCACTGTACACATCAACACCCCATCATCATCACAATCACCAACATCATCAACCACCATCGTCACAATCAAATACTGCCGCCATTATCATCATCATGAACAATACACATTCCAACAACGCCGTCGTCAACTTCACCATCAACCATCAAACACTTCCCAAATCATCACAGTCATCATGGACAACGACCAATGAACACACGACTACTACTTAATCATCATCCTTATTATTATCATTATTTTGTAAATGATATTAATCCACCGAATGCTCACGGAGTTATATGTGTTTGGCGATACGGGGGCCGGACTCGCGCGTCTCTTCCAAGTGTAGTTTGTTTGCGAGTGCGCGTTGCGATTTAACAACGCGCTGGTGTCTCTCCTCTCCCTCCCCTCACTGCCCCCCCCGCCCCCACACGTTCCCACGCTCATCGCACGTGCGCACGTGACGGAAACGTGAACGCACGCACCAACATCTCACGCACACCAACATCCCACACACACCAACATCTCACGCACACCAACATCCCACGCACACCAACATCCCACGCACACCAACATCCCATGCACCTACATCCATCCACGCACCAACATGCACACCTCCACACACACGCACACACACCTCCACACCCCCTCCACACTGACCTCTACACTCACACACACACCTCCACACACACACACACGCGCCTCTACACACACCCGCACACACACCAAAGTCCACTCGTCTCAAGCGGGAGCGGCGCTTTTAGGGGAGGAAGAGGCGGAAGAGGAGGAAGAGGCCGAGGAGGAGGAGGATGAAGGCGATGGTGGTGGAGGCGGGGAGGAGCAGGAGGAGGGAGTCGAGGATGCGAACGGCGCCTCGACCCGAGCCGTCACCTCCACGGCCGCGGCTGGGGACGAAGCCACGGCGGGTGCGGTGGTGGCGGCGGCGGCGGCGGCAAGGGGGGCTCGGGGCTCGGCAGGGGTTGGATTGGGGGGACCTCTGTCCGAGGGGGCAGGCGACCTCTTGACGTGTGGCCGGTGCCGCGTGGCGTTCCCGCTCGCCCACATCGTCCTCTTCATCGAACACAAGGTCCGGCGGTGCCAGCCCGCGGGGCCCTCCCCCTGCCGACCCCCCAAGGGGGCGCCCCCCCAGGCTGGACCCCGCTCGTCCCCCGTCCGAGGGGGTTCGACGGTAGCCGCGGCTGCGCACCCCGGGCCTCCGCCTCCTCCCGCACCGTCTTCGGTGTCGCTCCGAGCGAAGCGCAAACAGCATCATCAGCAGCAGCAGCAGCGGCGGCAGCAGCAGCATCATCAGCTGGAGACCCAAGTGGACGGACGTGACAACGAGGACGATGGGTACGGGGACGATGACGAGGATGATGGAGACGAGCGGAAGGAGCGACTGACAAGGAGCAATGACAGCGTCACTGCGGGTGAGTGTGGGGATGGTGGGTGGGTGAGTGTGGGTGAGTGTGGGAGCGGTAGTGGTAGCGGTTAGCGCTACGCTGTGCTATGAACCTGGCGAGTCGGGTTTGGTTCCCGCTCACGGCCAACGCCGGTGACGATTATCTGAACCGGTACCTGGGCCTCCCCTAGGTCGAATCAGCCTCAAATGAGTACCTGGTGTGGTGTGTAAACATCGTCACTGAGGAGACAAAGGCGGCGGGGCATGGTGCTGGCCACCCACCCCCTCGTGTGCCGTGCCGGCCTTCATAGGTGCTCGCTAACAGAACTTGCCCCAACAATCTGTCCAGGCTATATGGGGGATCTTTGTGTGATGATGGTGGGTGTGTGAGTGTGGGGATGGTGTCTGGGTGGGTGAGTGTGTGGATGGTGGGTGGGTGAGTGTGGTACGGGTCTAATATGAGTCGCGTGACGGTGAAACGGCACCCTTCACGTTTTTCACGCGTTGCCGTGATGGGGACGTTGGCTGTGACGGCGCTGGTGCCAGGAGAGGTGCCCTTCGATGCCACGAGCAGTAGCGGCGGCGGTGTGCGTCCGCGCGGGTCTCACAGGGGGTGGCTGTGGCGGTGGGGAGCCGAAGGGTCACGGGGGCGTTCGCACGAATGTGAGTGATCACTGCCGTCAGATATCCAAGTCGGCTCTTCGAGAAAACTTCCGGCACGGTGGAAAGGTGTCGAGTCCAGGTGAACATGTTCACCCGCCTGACATTTAACACCGTGCTGCGATTCATGAAGAAGATTTGAGACCCTTGCCTCTGTGAATGCGGTGTTGCTTGGTGGTGCTAGTACGGGCGGTCATTGGTACTGGATACGTCGAATTAATTTTCGGGGAAATGTTGGCTCGGGTGTTTGACCTGACGCTTAAAGATGATAATGATGATGGGTCAGTCACTCTCTCTGACCCTCCTGTGTGGTGAGGTTAGGTGAGCTCAGCTCTCCCTTGGCGTGCATTCGAGCTCTGGGATGCGTGAGCGTCAGTGGCTGCTGTTGATTCCCTCACCAGGAGGAAGCTGACTTCGCTTCTCTATTTTCACCACCCACGTGCGCGCTTGTGTGTGTGTACACGTGTGTGTGTGTGTACACGCGTGTGTGTGTGTATACGTGTGTGTGTACACGTGTGTGTGTGTGTGTACACGTGTGTGTGTGTACACGTATGGTTAGCGCGCTGCGCTACGAACCTGGCTACCCGGTTTCGATGCCTGCTCACGGCCAACACCGGTGACGATAATCTGAACCGGTCCTGGGCCTCCCCTAGGTCAACTCAGCCTCAAATGAGTACCTGGTGCAATGTGTAAACATCGCCACTAGGGAGACAAAGGCGGTCGGGCGTGGTGTTGGCCACCCACCCCATCGTGTGCCACAGTGCCGGCCTTCATAGGTGCTCGCTAACAGCACTTGCCCCAGCAGTTTGTAAAAGGATATACGGGGGCGCTTTGTTTTTGTAAGGATAAGCATCCACGTGTGTACGTATGGATATGGGTAAATGGGTGTGTGGGTACACGTGTGTGTGTGGGTACACGTGTGTGTGTGGGTGCACGTGTGTGGGTGCACGTGTGTGTGTACACGTGTGTGGGTGCACGTGTGTGTGTGTACACGTGTGTGGGTACACGTGTGTGTGTACACGTGTGGGTACACGTGTGTGTGTACACGTGCGTGAATGAACCGAGTAATTAACAAAGTTCAGCTCCTCTACACACCCTAATTGTGTGAATGAACCCGGTTGCTCGGCCGGGGTGGGGGGGGGGGTATCAGTTGGCCTCCTGCCCCGGGTCTCTAGCGGTGCAACCGCTCAGAGCAATCCCGCACGAGAGGTAACAACCCAGGCAGCTGGCAAGAAGCAATTCAAGCCAAAGCTTAGGGCCCCCAAGTGACTCAAGGGGACCCGAATTCATAAGTAAATAATATGATCTATGGGCGCGTCGCGTATCAGCTCAATCAAATGTTAATACGAGTAACAATTTGATGAATACTTCAAGTTAAGTGTGTGTCGTGCACCCTCCTCCACCGGACACAGCCAATTAATAACACCGCCAAGTGACGAATCAACGAGCCGACGTTTTTTGTTATTTATTTATTTATTACTGCTTCAGCAGCGGCGGCGCCACGTGTCCACCTCCTGTGAATGAATCGATGAATGAATGCACGAATGAAAGAATCAGTGCTTAAATACACACGTGGATGAATGCACCAACGCACACGAGTGAATTAATGAATCAGTGCAAAACTGAATATGTGATTTAGCGAATGAGTGAAGCAATTAATGGATACACACCAATGCAATAATACACGCATGAATGAATACATCTGTGAATGAACGCTTGAAAACATGCAATAATGAATACACGCTTGAATGAAATCACACGAATGAAAACAAATCATGAGCGCATGCACGAATGAAAGCATAAATACGAGGCGAGACACCAGACCCCCCTACCACGCGTTCTCTCTATCCCATGTACACGCGTGTGTTCACTCTCCCACGTGTACACACTCTCCCACGTGTACACACGTGTGTTCACTCTCCCACGTGTACACACGTGTGTTCACTCTCCCACGTGTACACGCGTGTGTTCACTCTCCCACGTGTACACGCCTGTGTTCACTCTCCCACGTGTACACGCGTGTGTTCACTCTCCCACGTGTACACGCGTGTGTTCACTTTCCCACGTGTACACGCGTGTGTTCACTCTCCCACGTGTACACGCGTTTGTTCACCCTCCCACGTGTACACGCGTGTGTTCACTCTCCCACGTGTACACGCGTGTGTTCACCCTCCCACGTGTACACGCGTGTGTTCACTCTCCCACGTGTACACGCGTGTGTTCACTTTCCCACGTGTACACGCGTGTGTTCACTCTCCCACGTGTACACGCGTGTGTTCACTTTCCCACGTGTACACGCGTGTGTTCACTCTCCCACGTGTACACGCGTTTGTTCACCCTCCCACGTGTACACGCGTGTGTTCACTCTCCCACGTGTACACGCGTGTGTTCACCCTCCCACGTGTACACGCGTGTGTTCACTCTCCCACGTGTACACGCGTGTGTTCACCCTCCCACGTGTACACGCCTGTGTTCACTTTCTCTGCCGCGCAATGGATGTTGAATGTGAAGGAGTTCCGATTGTTCTCGGGTTGAGGGGGGTGAAGAGTGTTCAGTGATGGGGTAAGGGAGGTGAGGAGTGTTGGGTGAGGGGGGTGAGGAGTGTTGGGTGAGGGGGTGAGGAGTGTTGGGTGAGGAGTGTTGGGTGAGGGGGGTGAGGAGTGTTGGGTGAGGAGTGTTGGGTGAGGGGGTGAGGAGTGTTGGGTGAGGAGTGTTGGGTGAGGGGGTGAGGAGTGTTGGGTGAGGAGTGTTGGGTGAGGGGGTGAGGAGTGTTGGGTGAGGGGGGTGAGGAGTGTTGGGTGAGGAATGTTGGGTGAGGGGGTGAGGAATGTTGGGTGAGGGGGTGAGGAGTGTTGGGTGAGAAGGGTGAGGAATGTTGGGTGAGGAGTGTTGGGTGAGGAGGGTGAGGAATGTTGGGTGAGGAATGTTGGGTGAGGAGGGTGAGGAATGTTGGGTGAGGAGTGTTGTGAGGAGGGTGAGGAATATTGGGTGAGGAGGGTGAGGAATATTGGGTGAGGAGTGTTGGGTGAGGGGGTTGAGGAATGTTGGGTGAGGAGGGTGAGGAGTGTTGGGTGAGGAGGGTGAGGAGTGTTGGGTGAGGAGTGTTTAGTGAGGAGTGTTGTGAGGAGGGTGAGGAATATTGGGTGAGGAGTGTTGGGTGAGGGGGTTGAGGAATGTTGGGCGAGGAGTGTTGGGTGAGGAATGTTGGGTGAGGAGTGTTGGGTGAGGGGGGTGAAGAATGTTGGGTGAGGAATGTTGGGTGAGGAGTGTTGGGTGAGGGGGGTGAAGAATGTTGGGTGAGGAATGTTGGGTGAGGAGTGTTGGGTGAGGGTTGTTGAGTGAGGAGTGTTGGGTGAGGGGGGTGAAGAATGTTGGGTGAAGAATGTTGGGTGAGGAGTGTTGGGTGAGGGGGGTGAGGAATGTTGGGTGAGGAGTGTTGGGTGAGGGGGGTGAGGAATGTTGGGTGAGGAGTGTTGGGTGAGGAGTGTTGGGTGAGGGGGGTGAGGAATGTTGGGTGAGGAGTGTTGGGTGAGGAGTGTTGGGTGAGGGGGTGAGGAATGTTGGGTGAGGAGTGTTGGGTGAGGGGGGTGAGAAATGTTGGATTGAGAAGCGTTGGGTGAGGAGTGTTGGGTGAGGGGGGGGGTGGGGAATGTTGGGTGAGAAGGGTGAGGAGTGTTGGGTGAGAAGGGTGAGGAATGTTGGGTGAGGAGTGTTGGGTGAGGGGGGTGAGGAGTGTTGGGTGAGGGGGGTGAGGAATGTTGGGTGAGGAGTGTTGGGTGAGGAGTGTTGGGTGAGGGGGTGAGGAATGTTGGGTGAGGAGTGTTGGGTGAGGGGGTGAGGAATGTTGGGTGAGGAGTGTTGGGTGAGGGGGGTGAGAAATGTTGGATTGAGAAGCGTTGGGTGAGGAGTGTTGGGTGAGGGGGGGTGGGGAATGTTGGATGAGAAGGGTGAGGAGTGTTGGGTGAGAAGGGTGAGGAATGTTGGGTGAGGAGTGTTGGGTGAGGGGGGTGAGGAGTGTTGGGTGAGGGGGGTGAGGAATGTTGGGTGAGGAGGTGAGGGTTGTCCGCACGCTGCTCACCGCTGCCGCATGCGCGGTTCAGGTGACGGCGCCGAGCAGGTGCAGCGCGGGAGACCCTCGCGGAAAAGGGGAGGCGAGGGGATGAGGGGAGGGGCGAGGGTATGGGGGGAGAGGGGAGGGGTGAGGGTATGGGAGGGGAGGGGCGAGGGTATGGGGGGAGAGGGGAGGGGCGAAGGTATGGGGGGAGAGGGGAGGGGAGGGGTGAGGGTATGGGGGAGAGGGGAGGGGCGAGAGTATGGGAGGAGAGGGGCGAGGGTATGGGGGGAGAGGGGAGGGGCGAGGGTATGGGG